AAAGTAAAATTAGAAGTTTATGATTTGAATAGGATTGAATAGGGCCGGCTTCAGTTTCTTTTGCTCTAATTAAAAGAAAATGAATGATTTCATAAAGACCTTTTTTTTTTCGGTTATTCTTAAATTAAATTTTTGATTGATGAAGTCATTAAGCAAAATACATTTTTTCGTGTGGAACTATAATTTTCCTTTTTTTTGTTTTTCCCCCGCATCAACAGCTAAAGCTTAATATATATTAAAAAGAGTTTTCATTTGCAACATTAATCTCTTGAATTGTTTTTACAATTAAAATTATAAATTTTTTCATTCTTATGACCTTTTGGGTCATTTTGGTGTTATAATTAGTTCAGCGGTACAAAGCATATTGTTTGCAAGAGAGAGAGAGCGAGTATACGGTTTCGTTTCAATTAAAATTGAATAATTTTCCATTTTTCAAATAAAACATTTTTGTCTGTGAAAATCAAATTAATTCAAACACTTACTGTAATTATTCTTTCTTTTTTAATAAGAAGTTTGACTTTAAAATTTAAAAAAAAAAGTGTTGATATCGGAAGTTCTTATCACCATAGTATATGGTCAATTTCATATTATTTGTAAACAAATAAAATCAAATCTATTCATTGGGTCATTTCTTATGCAAACATTTTACTGTCCTTTAACTGTACATAAAGCATTCAATCGAAAATATAAACGAAAGAAACTGGACAAAAAAAAGAAAAATAGCAAAGGTCATGATGTTTGCAATGGAAGGTAAAAAAAAAAAAAGCTAGTTTTCGGAATCGATTACTAAATTCATCCTAATTACCTGAAATCTAAAATTAAACTTTAAATGGCTATAATTAATAAATAACTAATTTAAAACAATGGATATAATTTTCTCCATTGCTAAAAAAAAAACGACTTAAAATTTATGAAATTATTTTCTTCGGAGAGAAACGAAATAAACAAACATCAACTTATTAAATAATTAGCAAAAAATTTTAATAAAATTGAAGAGAAGTGAGGAATTGTTGTCGTTTTTATTCTTTAAATAATTTAAAAATTTGTCCAGAAAATTTATTTAATTTGTTTATTAGCGTAACAATATGTAGTCGTATTATCATTATTAAATTACCTTTCCTGATTCAAATTTCAAAAACTAATTATTATTATTACATAATTTTTACGAAATATTCAAAATTCTCTTAGCTGCTTTTACAACATGATCACCTTTTGGCATCGAATATGCTTCAACAGCTTCTGAATATGGCATTGGAATATCCACACCTGTCACACGTTGAATTGGTGCATCTAATGAATTGAACACATCACATTCGACCATCTGCAAAATAAATTGTTTATATTATCCTATAACTAACGATAAATTACACACATGTCAAGTTTCACTAATTAAAACAAATAACTAATTAGGAATACATTTAACTAGGCAATTGTTTAATGAATTAACACTAAACTTTTGCATTTTTTCTTCAACCATTACGAATTCTAATACTATTATTATTATTATTATTATTATTATTATTATTATTATTATTATTATATTATTATTATTATTATTATTATTATTATTATTATTATTATTATTATTATTATTATTATTATTATTATTATTATTATTATTATTATTATTATTATTATTATTATTATTATTATTATTATTATT